CCAGGTGCAGGACCTTGCACTTGGCCTTGTTGAACCTCATGAGGTCCACACAGGCCCACCTCTCCAGCCTGTCCAGGTCTTTTTGGATGACATTCCATCCTTCTGGTGTGTCAACCGCACCACTCAGCTTGGTGTCATCTGCAAACTTGCTGAGGGTGCACTCGATCTCGCTAAGTCATTGATGAAAACATTAAACAGCACCAGTCCCAGTACAGACCCCTGAGGGACACCACTCGTCACCGGTCTCCCTCCGGACATCGAGCCATTGACCACTACCCTCTGGACGCAACCATCCAGCCAGTTCCTTATCCACCGAACAGTCCACCCATCAAATCCATAGCTCTCCAATTTAGAGAGAAGGATGTTGTGAGGGACCGTGTCAAATTTATACCTTTTTAACAGAAGGGTTTAATATTTGCGTATTTGAATTTTTGCACTTTTTAAATCAGTCTTGCCAAGGAATAATAATCTATAATCCTCTAAAAATCAAACCTTAAGAGGAATCTGAAAATAGATACTAAATTATTATTTTTACGCAGTATAACAGTGATTAGCTCTGTTTATGTTAATGGCAAATTGTATATTAACTACTAATGAATAACACATTCTCAAGGACTGAGAACATGCACTGTAGATCCAGCTGCATGGTCTCAGGTTGTTACTTTGGCTGCAGTAATCCGTATCTTCAGCTCTCCGGGTGACAGTCCCACTGCAGCACCGTCGCGAAGGCTGCGAGTTTGGGCAGCCCAGCCCAATGCCTGGACCCAGCACCACAAACCCCAGCTGCCAGAGAAATGGCTGCAGTGATTTAAGTTCATCCTATTTTCAATCAGACCAGCCCAATATAACCTCTGATCTGATTTTTTTCCTGCATTTTTGTCTACTTTGTCAGCAGTATCTGTTCTTGTTCCATTAAATATTGTCAAGTTTCAATTACCCAGCACAATTACTTTTTCTATCCTGCAATGCCACTCCTCCAAAAATTGTTCAAAATAAACAAAATATGAACATGTCGGCATGCTGATTTTTTTACTTTTTCACTTCAGGCTTATGTTAAAGCCATTTATTTAACATCATTTCTGGCCTTTGGTAAAAATTATGTGAGAATTCAGGAAAGCCGCATCAACTTCACCAAGGCTGACATGGTCACTGAAGGATTCCCTCCTCTCTCTGGGGGAGATATTTAAAGCCCAGGCTATGAGATGGGAGCTACGTGGGTGCTCTGAGCACCGGCGCACAGCATCTCACCGAGAGGTCTCTCGGCAGCCCTGGGCCAGCAGGCACCCCGGCCTCTCCCCACTGCTGTTGGGAAGCTCTGGACTCCTGGAAAGCTTCCCAGCAGAAAAGGACCTGGGGGTGTTGGTCAACAGCCAACTGAATATGAGCCAGCAGTGTGCCCAGGTGGCCAAGAGGGCCAACAGCATCCTGGCTTGTATCACAAATAGCGTGGCCAGCAGGAGCAGGGCAGTGATCATGCCTGTCCTGGGCCCTGGTGAGGCTGCACCTCAAATGCTGAGTTCAGTGTTGGGCCCCTCACTCCAAGAAGGACATGGAGGGGCTGGAGCGTGTCCAGAGAAGGGCAACAAAGCCTACAACTGCCTGACAGGAGGGGGGATCCGGGTGGTCTCTGTTCTCAGGCAATGGTCGATGAGATGAGGGGAAATGGCCTCAAGTTGCTCCAGGGCAGGTTTAGATTGGACATTAGGAAAAAATTTCTTCACCAAAAGGGTTGTCAAGCACTGGAATGGGCTGCGCAGGGAGGTGGCTGAGTCTCCATCCCTGGAGGTATTTAAAAGCTGGGTAGACCAGGTGGTTAGGGACATGGTTTAGTGGTGGGATGGCAGGGTTAGGGTAACAGTTGGACTTAATGTTCTTAAAGGTCTTTTCCAACCTAAACGATTCAATGATTCTGTGACTTACCAGAGTCAATAAATAAATCCCAGCGATAGCACGCAGTGCCTGTATTTCAAATTATTCAAGTTAAAAATCTCCTCCAGCACACAGTGGGGTGTTGTACATAACAAAACTGTGCTCCCCGTTTTGGAAACCACCACGCTGCCTACAGGCTTCAGGCTGTTTTCTCAACTAAAAGACCCCAGGGATGAGGTGACAGGAAACATTTATTCTCCAGAAAAACGTGGAGTATTAACACGCAATTCGTTAAGCAACAGTAACCTCCCAAAACTGCGACTTTCTTTCGCAGGCTGCTGCCCCAGCCTGCCCACCACCACCTCCAGGAGCCTCACGGGGCCTTCAGCCCGGCTGCTGCCGCCCGCAAAAACCCAGCTCTCACATGGATTGTGGTGAATAAAACCTCGCGCTGCTCGAGGTAACAAACCTTTACTTGAAGCAATGAATCAAACAGAGCATTGGTAACTTCGTGGGAGATGCAAGGACTTACCAGCAATCCCTCTTGTACTTTGAAAAAGCCTCTCTGTGCAAACTTGCAGCATTGCACCCTCCCAAACCCCCAAAGGGTTACTTTTCTGTTGTCACTGCTTCTTACTGAAAGCCAAGCTCTTCTCAATCCCCCTTGTTCCTTTAAAACCAGCCGACTGAATTTCATTGACATTTGGGAAAGCCAGCATCAGCCGGATTGATAACCAAAGGCTTCAGACCTCTGGCAAACATCTTTCCAGAAACCACCGCTAAGATCTGTCCTTGAATCACGGCATTCTGCCACAGAAGTGCAGTTAAATACACACCTAACTGAAAGAAATAACTATTTAAGGAAGCACACAAAGCATCTGGCTCTTGAAGCCGCTACCTTGCCAGAAGATACTCACAGCTTGAGGAACAGAGTTTACAACTCGCCACGCAGAAGGTGGTTTCCTACAAAGACACCATTTTTTTGTTTTATGCCCTGCTAGGCACAAATAAACAGAAAGAAGTGTTATCAGTTAAGTCAGTTCCTTCAGTAGATAAGAGGACTAAAAATCAGCTTTGCTTCCAGAAGTAAAGAAAAGGCGTCACCATGTGATTCAGTGCTCCATGAGCAGGCACAGACATTAACTTCACAAGGCTGACTTGCAAGATAATTTCTCACAAGCTCTTAAAACCAGACAAAAATATTTTTGCATAATCAAATTAGTTTGACATTATTATATTTCATGAAGAGTGGCAGGTGAGCCCTGAAAAGGTGGATTTTTCTCTAGTCTGTGCTCAAGAACAAGCTAGGCCGCAAGCACACAGGTGCCACCCAAACACAGGAGAAGGTTTTCTCGCTCAAAGCAGCTTTCAGACCGAAATGCTGACGAGACAGCAGAGCACTACATAGCACCCACACATCGGAACTGAAGGAAGATGAAATCACAAGTTTTGAATGGTGCCAAATACCAACTCCACGCAAGTCAAACTCTCCATTCCAAAACCAGTGTACTTGTAGGGTCCCCCAATTTCAGTAACAATCCCCCCCATTTATCATTGACCATGTACAGGTCGGCTTTATCAAAGCTTCTGCAGTCGTCAACCCTGACTTGCAAACTGTTAATTTGCTGAAGAAGAGAAAATTAGGAGAATGGAGGAAAATATGACAGAAATAAACACAGTGGGTAATGCGAACAGTTCAAACCCCTAGTAGCAATGCACACCTAGCTCAAATTAGTGGAATAATATAATTGCGGATGCTTTACTGTTCACGTATCTACAAAAGGCATCAGGCTTCCTACAGACTTGCACCACCACAACTGCCATCTCTGCTTACTTTTAGACAGGGACATTGCTTGTTACTCCACATTTGTAACATTTCTAAGACAATGGACTTCCATCTTCAACTATTCCCTAGGTAGTACCTACCATAAAACCATAATTAACCTAAGTACCCTAAACGTAACCCACTTCAGAAAGCTACACTTGCCCCTGAAATACCAATTTTTGTCAAGTCTACAAACTTTTTTTTCTTGTTAAGCAAAACTAACTAGTAGATCTTTCTTCCCCACATGGTTGTGTAGAATACTCACACCTGAAAAGCGGTCACCAACATGAGACAAACAGTAAAGTTGGTGTTAAACACTCAAATTCATAAACTTCACTTCAGAAGTATATTTTATCAGCTTGATACCTTTTAATTGCAGTTTTCTTTTGTGTTTGCAGATGAAGACCTAAGACAAATAATCACTTGTATCCCAAATATATTTTCGTGGCAAATAGTGAAAACGGTGGTAATTGGATGTCAATAGGAAATAGATATGCTCTATGGGGAAGAAAAAAAAAGAAGTGGTTTTCCTTCTTTCACAATGAAGAAAACCACTCAAGATTAGCCTTGATGCCATGTTTTAATGACTGTGAATTCAGAATGACCTCTGTGATAATGCTCCAAACAAGAGGCTTTGCCCAAGGGAGCAAACCTGGTGTCCACACCCCCCATTTCATCAGAATGTGCTTCCCAGTTACCGAGAGAGTCAGTCGGTCCTTGGAATCAGACATCTGAAACCAGTTACCTTTGTTTATTTTTTAGGTTGGGCCTCTTCTAGGGATTGTACTCAACAGCAAAAATGCCTAGGCACCTATATCATAATATTTACAATAGGATAAGACTCAAAGAGGGTACTACTATAATTTAATGTATTTTTTACTTGTGCTAGGAATTGTTTTTACACAGTAAAATTCACCAATACGCTCCAAAGAACTTTCCAAATATCTGGGCAGATCTTCAAACCAATACCTAAATCTCCAAAGCAGACTTCCAGACATTTTAATAAGTTCAATAGCTCATCAGCATTTTTTCTTCATGAATGTATGAGAAAATGACAAATGAACCCCACAAATTCATCAGAACATTTTAACTCAAGAAGAGTGCGCTCTGCTCAACTGTTTACATAAAATTATATTGCTTTTAGTCTTTTCCAAATTACTATGAATTCATTAGTCTGTGAATGCTAACACCTAGCACTGCAAAATGGCTTACACTTGCATGGTTCTAAATGAGACAGCAGCTCCCAATACCAACAGCACCCACAAAGGCAGGGAAGTAGAGAGCAATTGCACAAAAGTGAAATTACCCCAAATTTAGCACATGTTCTGCAATGAAAGCCATGACCTCTCGTAGTGCTCCCACCGCAGAGATACTTGTTGCTGTAAGAACTTTACAAATGCTGTGTTACTATAAGGCTTGAGAATTGATCTAAAAATAATGCAGTTCCAAGTATAAGCAAGAAAGAGCACAGGAGAATCTGCTGTGTAAAAATAACAGTTTTGTGAAATTCCTGCCTGGCTAGACTCACAGTTTTTGCAATTCCCTGAATTACAGCGAAAGCAAACTGAAAGCCTAATAAGACAAACAAAAGACAAACTTCCTGCCTAGTGAATTTTTGAAGGTGATTACCAGTAGTATCAATGCTCAAGTAAAGAACATCCAGAATTTCTACTAAGAAGTCTCCCGCGTAGCCTTTTAGCATGAAGTTTCTATGCAACGTAAAGGAATTTGTAAAAAGAAAACAAACAAAAAAAATGAAGTCCAACCCATGAACACAATACTACAACCAGCAATAACAAGAGTCACACATTGCAACACTTGAACTGGGGAGGTTTATCAGCGCTCAGGAATCCCATTACGTCATTGTCTCGAAGCCTCCTCCAGAACGGGCAGTGCTGAGCAAGGAACTCACAGCGAAAATGCTGAAAAAACAGCAAATGCTGATCTTTATCCCATGTACATTCAAAGAGCCCCAAAGGGGTTTTGTTATGAAGGCACCCAGTCAGTCCCAGTGCCGGTATTTAACTCTTACCTATCCTGTGACCTTGTTTTTCCCCTCTCATCCCACAACCACCCAGCAGCCGCCTGTGCGTTCCGGGCAGGCAGGAGCAGACGCCCACAATCCAAACCCCCGGCTAGCGCCGATGTTAAGCCGCAACAGTTATCTCTGCACACTAATTGCACAAGCGCCAGCCCGGGGCTCGTGGAAATAAGTTAGAAAAGGAGCTTTTGGTAAGAACACAGACATTTCTCAAGCACAGAACCATGTGCTCATTCTCATCACCCCCCTCAAAGATGCTCCATTGCGATAATTTTAATTTTTTTAAACTTTTCGATAATGTCTTAAACTTCATTAGGGAAGAATACATTACTAAGCCCATTAGTTCTATTTAAAATCCTCGACATGACATCTGTGATCCTTACAAAGCGCTTTACGTGAACAGGGGTGGCTGCAATGGCAGACTGTGTTTTAACAGACCAACGGCAGGTTTCATTAACCTACCCAGAGCCACGGGCCAACAGGACAGTTTCCCTACCTGAACCCTTTCTGTCTTATGTGTACCGATCTTGCAATGTGAGTGAACACCGGTCTCCACAGCCGCTTTTATTACTGCACCAGGTTGTGTTTGGCACAATACATGGTGCAAGCCCGGTGCTCACCAGCACTGCACGGCTGCCGCACACACACAGGAGCCAAAGCAAAAGCCTCCAAAGCTGCCAAGGACTTGTGCTGCGGGGAGAGATGGCCACACTTAGGTTGCAAAGTCCTGGGCCATGTTGCTAAGTATCCAGCTTGGGATGCCCACGTACTGGGACGACAAACCACAACTCATACTGAGAGCAAAAGGCAAAGAAGACACAGAAAGATGGGTGGTGAACCTAACAAGGAACATTTCAGACCATTGCCTTTCCCCTTTCTCCTCTGGAAACTGAATAATCTTAACCTCAAAAAAACCCCATTCTGACAAATCCACTCATTTGGGTACCAGCAACAACGTACTGTGAGTGCATATAAACAAGTACACAAACATGTTTTCAGTTTATCCTGGTGCTCATTAAATAAAAAGTCCTTTAGACTGGGACAATCAGCTTTTTCCAGTTAACTTACTTGTTCCTCCCTGAAATAATTTTACAGGCATTGCATAGTTCTGTGATCTACTGTTTCTTTGGGCATCTTCCCTATTTCAAGCTTAAAGACCTGGATGATGAGGGAAGGGGCTGCTCAGGCCATCACATTCCTCCAAAGTTTTCTGCGCAGGGCAAGGTCAGTGTCACTGGAGGAAGTTGGCTGTTTCTGGCAGGAGAGAACTATTGGCATTATTAGGAATAGTAAACTACTTTCCATCAGGAAATCAGAAGATTACATCCTTGAATGGGAAAGAGATTGTCTAGAAAAACAGCTGAAAGGTTATATTGCTGCTTAGAGATGCTGACAAAATTAGCAGGCGCTTTCCAGGATTGGGAACCACAAAGTTACGGAAGTGTGAGCAGTTTTCTGTAGAAGTTTAGAAATACATATTCCTAAACATTTCTCCTTCTCCATTTTGCAGCTGAAGCACTTAAGAACAGTATTGCAACAGCCTCTGCCTTACAGTAAACCTAAAGTCACTGTACACCATGAACTTTTCCAAATTATCTTACAGAAAGAATGTGAAAGATATATGAAGACAGCTTATATGGGGAAGCTTATAGAGCATTGCATCATTCACATTTTAAATCATAACTTGGCAAAAATAATAATAAAAACCAAACTCACAAATCCCCAAATAAAACCACAACCACTCAAAAGCATCTCTTTCAATGTGAACTGCATGCAAAACCTTGAGTCCCAAGTGATGTGGCCCTCAACCTGCACGAGCAGTCGGTGTTGAAGAGCAGGTCTACTGCGTGCTTCCCGTGGGATGATGTTTGTTTACAACAACGCATTCTTGATGATGATGTAAGAAGCAGTAACATGACAGATTGACTATCAGATGCCAGATTAACAGCCATTACCAAGTAGCAGGTTTTATTTATAAATGCAGCATGTTTGATGGAGAAGTATTTGAGAGAGCAAATGACAAATGCTTTCATAAGCATTTTTCAGGTAAAACAAACCTAATGGAAAAAAAAAGTGTCACATTTGTCTAATACTGGGGTAGTATTTGTCAAATTAGTGCTGGAGTTTATCAATGTATTTAATCAATTCTACAACAAGCACATTTCTCAGATGATGCTTTTATGTTTTCTCACAGGCTGTGCTGTTAAGTCCTTGGCACCTTTAACACACAAACCAACCTTCCACATTTCATTATTTTTAAAGCATATAAAGAATTCTCCATTGATTAAGAAAAAAACAACCAGGGCCATGCACAACCACCCAGCCTTTTTATGCACTTCCACAGGACTCTAAGATTCCCGTTTCAGATCGTGTGCTGGCGCAGCTGGGGTGGCTCGGGAAGGGGCCAGGAGCGCTGCTGCTCCTGCAGCCCACCCCTGCCCACCCGCCAAGCGCCACGGCGCAGAAGAGCTCCTCGGTGGGAAACCAGCCCAGCTCTGCACACGCCGAGGCACACCCACACGCAGGCAGATGGAGGGCAGGAGCTCCCATCTCACTCTGTTGACTTTGAAATGGTATTTGCCATTTTAAACAGAGCCAAGGAGTACACACACACATACAATGGAACGGCTGCATGACATGTTACTGTAAAGCTCCTCCTTCCCTGTCTCAGTCCCCATTCTTTCCCCCCACATTTCTCGATCAAGGCCTTTCTACATTGCAGAGGCAGCATGAGCACAGCAGTTTGCTGGTTTCAAAAACATGCCTTGCAGGACTGTGGACTGAGACCACAAGCTATTTAGAGAAAAACTTGTGTCATGCACCGAACGGAGCAACCGGGGTGCTTCAGGAACTTGCAGCTCCCTTCTCCTGGCAGAGCTCAGCTCCTGGGAAGCTCAGGGTCACTTGCCATCCCACCAGCAGCCCCGCTGCAGCTAATGCTATCCTTCCCTCCTAATTGGCACTTATCTCATAGTGGTTTTCAGAGTGCTGCAAAGCATTTGGAAGAATATGGCTGAATTCAAGGCATACAGCTGCAGAATTCAGAGCTTAGCCTTTGATTGCAGCAAGGAAGATCCACATTAAAGTCATGCTCAGGAACAGATAACCACTTCTCCCACTGGCTTATTAGGCACATGGTTTCTCTTCAACACAGATCTCGGCTGTCTGTACCGTCATTCATCTCTGCAAGGCTACTGTGCGAGTTCCGCCCTGGCTTCTCTTCAAAGCACGCTAGAGGCTGAGGCTGTAAGGAAAGCCTTGCTTGGGTGACACCTGCCCTTTGCTGCCTACGTGACAATTAGGCATTTCTTTTTTTTTAACATACATGAAGATTTCTATGAAGTCATTCAGTATGTGAACAGAAATCTGTTCCCCACTCCAGAAGACCACACTGACAAAAATCTCTGTCCAAGAACTTGCCCCCACAGGCAGGGGAAAGTCCCACGGTAGAAATTGCAGTCAGGGCTATGCTACAGGGAAGTCTTTCAAGACTTGCTTATCCCTAGGTTTTCATACGTATCAAGGAAGATGACCTAGAAGTGCTTTTGTTTGGGTTTTTCTCAGAGGGAACAGAAGAAAGAAGGTCTTGATTCTGGCTTAGGGTTCCCAGGACTCCATCTTGGATGTGACACCAGGAACCAGATTTGCTGGCTGATTTCTCCTTTGGCTTAGAACACTGTTTTGGGTTTGCTGGCCTTCGATGCTTTGTTATCCACGCCATCATTCAATCAAATTACTAACATACCACAGGCTACTTATCAGGAAAACAAAAATTCCCAGCATATGGTAAGGCCCATCCCCAGAGTTACCGCACCAAATAGAAACCCCAAATCCAAGCTATTCAGGCTGCTGTTGAGAAAAATCCAAAGCAATCTTCCTTCACAACTTCTTGCTGCCAGAATTCCTTGCTAACACAGGAAACATCATCTCTGTGACCGCTAATCCAGTAGAGTCCACAACCAACGAGCCATAGCTTAGGTTAGATGAGGGCAATTTCTGTTAGACAGCACTAACCACATCATAATACCCAAGCGGGTCTTGGTGGAGACTAGAGAAATTTAGGAAAAGAAATCATTCAAGAAGCCTTGAGAAATTTCTCAGGCCTCCACCTCTCCCTGATCCCTTTCAATCACATCACCGAATTTAATGCCATGGTGGCTGTACCTCATGGAACTTGCCCAGCGATACACGTGACCCAGGCACTGGGGAATTGCTTGCTGCATCGCACACACCTCCTGCTCAGCACCAACGGGCACGGGTACCGCTACATCAGTTATTAGAAACAATGTTGATAATACGGAATAATTCTAATAATGAATAAACTGTGCTGAACAATTTCAGTTAGAGGAATCTGAATAAAAACGACCAACTAAAAACATAACAAACAAGGGGAAAAGTATCAATTTCCTCTCCTTCTAACAGTCAGGGTTTCCTCTGATGCTTTGGTTTATTTTGCCAATATCACTCATCACATTTTAAAAAACAAATTATCCAGGGTCAAAAGAAGCACTGCAGTAACTGACAGCCAGGTAACTTGGATACGCTGTACACCCCAACCTGTCTGCAGAGCGGAGCAATTTCCTACCAAAACAGTATTAAAGGATCATTCTTCTTATTTAACTTCCCGCAGGGGAATATAAATACATACGTACACCTCCCTCAGGAACACACCCCACACTCAGGATATTGCAACATCCCACACTAAGGATATTGTATTGCTTGAACTGATACAGTTAAACAGAGCCTTCTGCATTTAGACAGAGACCTTTGTTACAGAGCTACGAACACCATTCCTG